TGTGTGTGTGTGTGTGTGTGTGTGTGTGTGTGTGTGTGTGTGTGTGTGTGTCTGTTTAGATGAAGCTCATTGATATTCTCAAGAGGCAGAAGGTAGAGTGTGTGTGTGTTTGTGTGTGTGTTTTTGTGTGTATTTGTGTATGTGTGTTGTTGTGTGTGTGTGTACATGTGTAGGTACCACAAGTGAAATTTTTGTTTGAAGAATACCATAACAAAACTATAATTTCCATATATTGTACTCAGTGAAACAAGAACTATAAATAAAAGATTGATCAAAATCCATCAACAAACACCTGAGATATGATGTTTCAAATATTTATTGGACTTGTAAAAATCGTGACTTGTGCGCAAATGGCTCACAATGCTGTTTCAAGGTCACACTACGTGAAAAACGTGGTTGAAAGTCAAAAAGTTTTAGAACTACATATTCTTAGACAAAAACACATAAATTAGGGTAAAAGAAATTAAAATATAATTGGTGTAGCTATTGTAGTGATTATAGTAGTTCACAACCGAAAGGAAACATGAAAATTAATGTAGTTTAGAAATGGATGTGAATGGCTTGGATCCGAACCCTCCTAAAATTACCTAAATAAATTGTGTTGATGGAGGTGTGATATAATTACAATCGGTTTATTGATCTCTCCTCCAAGATGTATATCGTGTCACGACGCCGTGGAATCAGGCGCTCGTCAGTTTTTGGACATGTGGATTTATTGTTGTCATCTTAAAGCTTGTTCATTTGCCTGTCTGTCGATGAAAAAAATACAGTACCAATCTATCTTGAATAGAAGTCTAGATATTTGCAATCTAAAGGAGTGGGGGTCGGGTCGCCTGGTTTCGGAGGTAAAATTAGCGAGAAAATGGCCGCCAAAGTTTGGTAACTGAGAGTCCTTGGGAACTTAAAATTTACATTTTTTGTGCCTTTAATTAATATTTTTCAGTAAAATCCATACAAAAATGTGTTTTTAAATGGACATCAAGGTGTTGTGCCGAAAAAAGGAAACTAGAAAAAAACTGCCTATTGGCCTAAAAAACATGAGGATTTCTTTGATTTCATTAGTTTGACAAGCGCCCGATTTCACCACGATGCCTCACATATATATAGGCCTATATATATAATATATATATAAGACATGGAAACAGCCTGCCTCTGAAAATTATCTAAATTGCCAATCGGGGTAGAGAACATTAGAATTCAATCTCTCCTCCCTTGGTGCATTTTAAATCAGCTTGCATCCTAGATTTGTCTAAATTGTGTTGATGGGAGCTTGAAACATTCGCGTTTAGTCTCTAACCCTAAATGCCTTCTGTATTGAGGCTGCGTGCCCCCCCCCCCCCCAAGATGATCTAAACTGTGTCAAGTAGGGCGTAAAATACTCAAAATCAATCTATCCTGTAATGATACACTTCTTTTCTTTTATCTCTTGTTTGTTTTGGTAAGTGTTTTACGGCGCTCGCTACTGCATAAAGTCATTATATGAGCGTGCGGGACACAGAAAACATTTATTGAGTTGGTAGGAAATTTTGGATTTTTCACGGGTGGCGACGGAAGCCTACCCTTATCGATTTTAGACCACCAAGGGATCTTTAAACGTGCGCAACTTGCATAGGAGATCTCCGGGATTTTTCACCCTTGTCCCAGAAGGCTAGGTGTAGATTTTTTCTACCATAAGATCTCTGTCCCCCAAGATCAT